ACGTACACGGTGCCCACACACCAAATAATATCAAGATATCCTAAGGGGGAAGTCCCGAACACATGATTAGGCAAGCCACTTACCTCGAACCGCTCAAATCAATCTGATATCACGTTCTTGCCACGAGTATCCGACTTCAAATGGCCCAAATCTATTCAAAACAGTACAATACCATCAATACGCGCTAATGGAAAATTTTCACAAGAAAAACTACAAATATTAGGCCAAAACCCGAAATTGGCTCAAAGCTCAAACCCGGCCCCCGGGACCACGTCTCGAAACCCGAAACAAATCATGAAACTAGAAAGATCATTCACTCACGAGTCTAACCATATCAAATTCGTCAAAATCCGACATCGTTTGGTCCTTCAAATCCTTAAATTACTCTCCAAAATTTTCAAGTCCTAACCACTCATTTTCACTAATTACAATGATTAAACAACGAAAAAATTACCATATATACGAGTATTAGGCTCAAGAAACTTACCTAACTGACAGACCTTGAAACACTTTTTAGAAATACTTTCAAAAGCTCCAAAAACCGACTTGAAAATGGTGGAAATGAACCAAATTCGCGAAGGGTTCTATTTATGGTTTCTACCCAGGTTTTTCGCACATGCGGGCACTTTTTCCGCGCATGCGGGACCGCATATGCGGTCAAGGCGCCGCATCCACGAACTCCACTTAATTCCTCAGCTTCCACACCTGCGCTCCAGGCCTCTCACATGCAGGCTCGCAGGTGCGGCCAAATCCTTCGCACCTGCGCTCCATCCTTGGCCTCACATTTTCTGCATCTGCGCAGCAAATTCTCGCGCCTGCGAAAGCGCCCCTGCGCGCTCATACTATGCTTCTGTGGAAACTGACCAGCCCCTCATTCCTTCGCATATGCGCACCTTCCCTCCGCACCTGCAACCTCACACATGCGACTCCCCCTTCCGCAGGTGCGGAATTAATAGAAGCAGCAACTCCAGCTGCAAATTCCAACTTCGACACATCCGTTAACCACTCGGAATCACCCCTAGACCCTTGGGACCTCAACCAAAAATATCAAAAAGTCATATATCAACATATCAACTTAGTCGAACCTTCGAATCACTCAAAACAATATCAAATCATCAAATTACCCTCGGATTCAAGCCTAAGAACTTCTAAATTTTCCAAATTCGGCAACCGATGCCGAAACCAACCAAACCACGTTCGAATGACCTCAAATTTTACATACAGGTCACAAATGACATTACGAACCTACATCCACTTTCGTAATTCCATTCCGAGCTCGATATCAAAATTTTCACCATCGGCCGAAATCGCCGAAAAACTAACTTTCGCCAATTCAAGCCTAAATCTACTGCAGACCCCCAAAATATATTTCGGACACGCTCCTATTCCCAAAATTACTCAACGGAGCTAACAGAGTTGAAATAATTCTATTCGGAGTCGTCTTCACATAGTTCCGACTACGGTCCAAATCTTAAGGCTTAAGCTCTCATTTAAGGACTATGTGTCCCAAAACATTCCGAAACTCAAAACCAATCATCCCGGCAAGTCACAATAGCAGAAATAGATATGGAAAAAGCAGTTAATAGGGGATAGGGGCTATTAATCTCAAAATGACCGGTTGGGTCATTACACTATAAAAGCTGAGTTTTTCTCGTAACCTATTATTGTATTATGTTATAATATATGTCCTCTATAACAACGCTTCACTATAGGAGCCAAAAAATTTCGGAACAAATGAAACCGTTATAGAAAGGTTTTGACTGTAATCCTATTCAAGGATGTCGAGAGGCAAAACTCAAACTTATCTTCTACAACTAATTGCAAGTACTCTTGTGATGGTTTCTTCACATTCTCACTTACTTGTTTTGTCACTACAGAAGGCAATTTTCTCAGAAGAAACAAAGAATGAAGGCCTGCAATGAGAGGCAGAGTTAGAATTTAAAATTTATGGGTTTGAGAATCTAGTATGTTTAAGTTACTGGGTTGTATATTAATAATTTGCACATATTCAATAGATTTCTTAAGATAAATATAGGGTTTATATTAAAATTACTAGGTTTGGCCAAACACGTAACTTATATTCTAGCTCTTCCCCTGCCTGCAATTGAACATGTTGTTATTGATAAGTAGCATTGAGAAGCCTAACAATATGCCACTCGGATATATTATAGTGTTACGAGAACATAATGCACTTTAGAGGGAGGAGCAATATAATACCACTATAATATTATAACTTTGTAGTGTCAAGAGACTATTACAATTTTGAAAGAATAATACTCTTTATTTTAAACACCTCAATACAATATTAATCACACTCACTATTTATCTCACATACTACAATTTATAAATTACTCTCTCTCTCTAACTTCTGTTGCTTTTCTCTGTTTTTGGCGAGAGACTCCCTCTTAAAGGGAAAGTTGCCGCCCCAAACAGCCAATAAAATTTGGCCTTTGCAATTGCTCACAACTTGTTTCAAGGAAGTCAAGCACCCACAATTGCTTTTACTGATTCGACACATAAATATATTTTTGTTTACAATCAGTAAAACAATTGGCATAACTGATTCATCACAAAAACAACAAAAGATAATTAGTTTATATGTCTATTGATATTACATAACATCATCGTACGTAACCAGCAAAATAATTTAACTTGTAATTGTCCTGAAGCATGGCCCTTTTAGCTTAAAGTTTGGCCTTGTAACTAACAACTGCTTCACATCACTAAACCCTCTTCCTTATATTCTTGACAGATACTCCCTCCGTTTTCAATTAGATGAGATACTTTTTTTTCCAGTCTATTCCAAAATAAATGACACTTTTAAATTTGAAAATAATTCAACTTTAAACTCTTCATTTTACCCTTAATAAGAAGTTTTTATAACCACAAAAATATCATGGCCCGACAAAACTTTTACCCCTTAACCTTTTAAGACCACAAGTTTCAAAAGTCTTTTTTTTTTCTTAAACTTCGTGTCGAGTTAAACTGACTCATCTAAATTGAAATAGAGTATCAATATATGATAGTAGGTCGGCATCACACCTTTTCCACATGTGTATCAGTTTTTTAATATAGACCAATTTAGGTTCTCGGACTCAAATAGTCCCATAATTAAAAATCACGTCCACGTTTTCTTGCATTCTTCATAGCCAGCACATGCAAGCCAAAAAAGAAAGTAAATATGTACCACATCAGAAAAAGATATTAAATACTCTTACCTAATAAAAAGGCAAAACAAAGAAAAACGACAAAGCCTAGAAAATAATATTTGATCTGATTCCTCTTATAAATTTGAAGGCCAGCTCTCATCATTCAGGAGAAGCAGAGAACCAACGAAAGAAGAAACGGCCAAACCAAAAAAGGTCATTTTTTTGCAATTTTCTCGTTATATGCTAAACATATAAATAAAGTATATTCTTTGCTACTTCAAGTTGAATGACATGACACATAGATATATTGTTTGGTCAATTGTTTTAAAGGCCAAAAGTATTTTTTTATTGATTTAAAAAGCATTTACTTTAGAGAATGAAAGTGTTTGGCCAAGTTTATGGCAAATAAATAAGTGTTTTTAAGTAGTAACAAATTCTTCTCTCATTATTGGCCAACAATATTTTGTGTTGAAAGGCAAAAACAAGGTCTCACATATCAGATATTTTCAATTATCTGTATTATATAATAAGAATATTTGATTTAATTCCTCTTATAAATTTGCAGGCCAGCTCTCATCATTCAGGAGAAGCAGAGAACCAACGAAAGAAGAAACAGCCAAACAAAAAAAGGTCATTTTTTGCAATTTTCTCGTTATATGCTAAGCATATAAATAAAGTATATTCTTTGTTGCTCCAAGTTGAATGACATGACATATAGATATATTGTTTCGTCAAGTTTTCTAAAGGATAAAAGTAATTTTTTATTAATTAAAAAAGCACTTACTTTAAAGAATGAAAGTGTTTGGCCAAGTTTATGGCGAATAAATAAGTGTTTTTAAGTAGTAACAAATTATTTTTAGTTTTTAAGCAGAAGCGAAAATAACTTGTCCAAAATAAGTATTTATTTATTTATTTTTAGAACAAGATTACCCATATGAAAAATACGTCATTACTAAATTAATTAGTAGTAGTACCTTCCTTTTTCATAATTTCGGGATGCACTTTTCCTTTTCATAATTTGACGATTAAAATTACTTTTGAAAATATTGGCCAAACACATACTATTAATGAAAGTATTTCTAAAATAATTTATCTAAATACAAGCTACTACATTCAAATCACTTTTTTTTGACATGCATTTTTTATTAAAAGTACTTTTCAAAATAAGTCGATTGGTAGCTTAGCCAAACAAGCCACTGATAGATATATTTCGTCTAATAATTTTATTTTGGATTTGAGACTCTTATTCATCGTTATTCATCATTCGATTTGAGATTTCCTGATGTTTTTTATTTAAAAGAACAATTAAGGGTCCATTTGGCCATAAGAAAATTTTTACTTTTTTCGACTTTTGTTTTTACTTTTTTCAGAATTAGTTAGTGTTTGGCCATAAAAATTTCACATTTCAGTTGAAGTTGAATTTTGGCATTTTTCAAAAATTTGAAAAACTCCGAAAGGTTGTTTTTCAAAATTTTCACTTCAAATCACTCACAAAATTTCAAAAACAGCTCCAATTTATATTCATGTCCAAACACAACTATAATTTTCAAATACTATTTTGAAAAATAATTTTACTTTTTTCCGAAATTTTGCAATTCTTATGTCCAAACGCCCACGTAGTTCTTTCAATAAAATTTCTAACATATTATGGCAAGACATGTAGGACGAGAGTTGATGTTTTTTTTTTTCCTTTGGGCTTTTCAAATCGAATTCTGCAATGAATTGGATTTAACAATAATAGCCATCTATGACTAGTTATTAAATGAATTTGATACCAGACCATTTTAACCAGATTTGTCATTTGTGGGAATTTGAGTTTTTGCATTTATACCTGATTTTAGGGTCACAATTGAAGTTATAACTACTTCGCAAAATAATTTGCGAACCTACCCACTTTACAATTAACTTCAGGCTTATCGGGTCTGAAGTTAAAAATAATAGTCTGAAGTGCAACGCACTTAAGGCCAATTAAGTTTAAAGTATAAAAATTACGCTTAAGATACACTTAAGGCCAAATATGTCTGAAGTGCAATAAATATTTTCATGCACTTAAGGTCAAAGAATTCTGAAGTAAAAAATTATACTTCATATGCATTTAAGGCCAAATAGGTCTGAAGTGTAACCAATGATTTTATGCACTTAAAATCAAATAGGTCTGAAGTACAACCAATGGTTTTATACATTTAAGACCAAATAGATCTGAAGTGTAACCAATGGTTTCACGCACTTAAGGCCAAAAAGTCTAAAGTGAAAAATTTGCACTTCAGACTTAAGGACAAATAGGTCAGAAGTGAATCCAATAGTTTCATATACTTAAGGCCAATAAGTCTGAAGTGAAAAAATTGCACTTTAGATTAACTTAAGGCCAAATAGATCTGAAGTGCAATGCAAATTGCCCAAAAATAAAAATTTGTTCTTCGAATTTTTACAATTCAATACACGATTTAACACCTAAATTTACTCTAAATGAGAAAAATAAAGCGCCGAAATAGCTCACCATTGTAAAATATCATAAACTACCTTAAAATATTAAAAAAAGAAGAAGAAGAAGAAGAAGAAGAAAGAGAAAATGGTCTAAAGTTGTTTAAACTTTGGGTACTACTTTAAATAAAATTAAAAAGTGGATACATGTTAAATGAGGAGGACCAAATAGGACGCTCCGTAAAACATTTACGTAGGAATTACAGGTCAAGAAAGTTAAGTAAGAGGGATGCCACACTCTATTGAGATTACCCCAATAAATCACCGAACTCCACTGCTTCATCAAACTACAGAACATGGGGTCTTTCTCTCTCTCTCTCCCTCCCTCACTCTCTCTCTCTCCCCCTCCCTCACTCTCTCTCTCCAACTCTATCTCCCCCTCTCTCCCTCAGTACGCACAAGCAATACCTTTTCATTTTACTTTATAATTGTGGAGGGAACCTTGAAACAATTGTAAAGTTGTCTCTATGTGACATGTCACGGATTTGAGTTGTGAAAGCAGCCACTGAGACTAGCGTTAGGGTAGGCTGTCTACATCACATTCCTTAGGGTGCGGCCATTTATCGCACTTGCATGAGCTCGGAATACCTTATGCGCCGAGCTTCCCTTTTTATTTTTGTCTGTATTTTCGAACAAAAAGAAACAAAGGCAGGAACTGTTTAGGAATTTTATTTTTTATGGATAATGCATAAAATCCTCCCCGGCCTATTACAATATTGCCAACTATGCGCTTTTTCTTTTCGGGCATCCTATTATCCCCATGAACTATTTTAAAGTATAATAAACACCACCCTAAGTGCTGATGTGCCATAGAGAGTGTGCACACTCTCTTGAGGGCAAGTGGAAGTTACAAAAATAATTTTAAAATTGATTAACATGTACAAGTGTTATCTTTTGATTGGACATTACACAATTAATTATATCTAATTAATTAGTCTCCTTCGTCTTCTAAATCTCTTCTTGCACGAACAAGGGAGACATCGTTTCAGCGGCGAAATGCCTGAGCGAAAATCCAATACAACGCAAATCAATCCATAAATCAAAAGCAGATATGTTTAATAACAGAAACAGAGCTACAACCTAGAGGGAGGAACTCTCATGATTCAGTGAAGAACCTACGAATAGTCAAAACGGCCAACAACAATGGAGTTTCACCGGAGCAAGGGTCTTCGTCGGAGTTTCGTTCTCCGGCAAGATCTGACAATATCAAACAAGTATTATATAAAACCCATAAAAAACTCAGTTCACCTGAGAATAAAAATCTCGTCGTATACGGCAAACCGTGATAAAAAGGGATGGACATCTAGCGTTTAACAAGTTCAGGCCATTGAACTGAAAAATGATTGAGAAATTAGAAAAGAAAAAAAAAGAATGCTTTAAGAAATACTTTATGTTAGACATATCCAAATCCATAACTAGCAAGATGTGCTGATACCATGACTGGAAGGACTACAAATATTTTGGTTTAATTTTTAGTTGTCCCATTAGCAAAGTTACTAAATTTACAATTCATACTTAGCAAAAACCAAAAATGCAAAGAAAAACTTATGACGTCTAGATTGTCAATCTTTTGGAGTTGGATCTGAGATGATGCTTTTGCCTTTTGGCAGGATATGTTAATAAAGGTTTGCGAATAGGAAAATAAGGATGAAGGAGAAAAAGGTGAAAAAGAGTTTTTAAGTAAGAAATACACATTTTAGGCGCGTGTATTTCACCACTTTGCACATATCGGGTTGTAGCTTTTTAAGGGATAAATAACTTTACTATAAGATAGTTTAGGAGGGTAATAGGACCCCCGGAAAGAAAAGGTGTGTAGTTGGTAATATGGTCATAGACTGAGAAGGATTTTATGCATTACCCCATTTTTTATTTTGATTTAGTTTATAGATATAGCCAACAGACATAATACGTTGGTTTGATAAATGAAAAAACTTAACCAAACCGATTTATATACACCCTCCTCTGTCCTATTGTTATCATGAAGTTTGCTTATACTTCCTTTTCAAACAGTTTCATAGCTTGTTTGGCCAAGCTGCAAAAATCAACTTATTTTGAGAAGTATTTTTTCTTAAAAGTACTTTTTGTGAGAAACAGTTGGTGTTTGGCTAATTAATTTGAAAAATACTTCTGAGCAGCAATTAGTGTTTGGTCAAGCTTTTAAAATTGCTTCAAGTATATTTTTCTCAAAAGTATTTTTCAAAAAAGTGATTTTGGAGAGAAGCTACTTTTTTCTGGTTCTCCAAAACCGCTTCTGCTTAGCTTCTCCTCAAAAGTATATTTTTTTCTTCCTAAAGCTTGGTCAAACACTTCAACTTTGAAAAAGAAAGTACTTCTAGGATTAAAGAAGATTGGCCAAACAAGCTATCAGCCTCAAACTTTTGTAATTTAGCTTGAAACTCCTATTGCGAAAAATTATGACTCTTGTTCATTAATTACAGATAGAAGAAGGGAGGAATGTGGATCAACTAATCGAGACAAATCAAATTCTTGATTAAATATATTTAGATTTGTACCATTCATCTACCAAATCCTGTACCATATTTAGAGTAAGTGTGGGGCTAAGTGAATCAAATCCATATGCTTATAAGCCAATGTTGGTCTCTATTGGTCCTTACCATAAGAAGAATTCACAATTACGCTCGTTGGAGAACTATAATTGCGTTACCTACAACGGTTTCTCAGGAGTTAAAACTTGCATTTGTGAATTGGAGAAATTGAAAAATGAGGCACTAAAGTATTATGATGATATGGAGGATATTTATAGTGATAACAATATTGTTCAAGTCCACACCAACATCATGAATTCGTGGGCTCATCAGAAACGACATAATGAACAATAGTGATTGTTCCTCATTTTTCATGTTTTAGAGCCATAAAACAAGAATTTGAAATGATTTTTAATTTTTTGTGTGCTAAATCCACGTCATCATCATGATTTCGAGCGACGAGCTTCGAATCGCCTAAAATTTTGTGGCCAATAGAAGAAGACATTATTATCCCCTACAGTTGCATAGATGGTCAAGTACGTCAAGATTTGTTATTACAAGAAAACTAACTTCCTTTCTTTGTCCTTACTAAGCTTCACGACATGACTATGGATCCAATAGTACCATACATAAAATTGGTGAAGGAGACCTTTAATTCTTCATTCCTGAAGATAAGCCCTGCATCCTTTCTTGAGACTGAAACTGATGCCAAAAACATCAAAAATTTACTTCAACTAATACACGTGTCATGTCACCCTTTGGAGAAGAAAACTAGCCTTACTCTTGAAAACCCTAGTTTGGAAATGGAACATTGCAGGAAAAATTGCAGGAAAAGCTTATGTTGGAATCCTTTACAGATGGTTAGGTTGAAAAATATGCCAAATGATAAGCACTGCCAAACATGGGATGCTAACATGCTCAATGCAACAGAGCTTCGCGAAGCTGATGTTACATTTTCAAAAATTGGAAATATTTATAGAAGATTGGAGGAAGATTGCGACCTTGGAGATAACACAATTTTATTTGACATTAAATATGAGAATGGAGTGATGACAATTCCTTGTTTTGAAGTTTTTGACTGTACGGAGACCATCCTGAGAAATTAAATCTTATAACATACGATCAACAATCATCTAATGTACATCCTAGATAATTCAGTGATTTTTTCATTTTCATGAATTATCTTATCGACTCGGACAAAATTAGGAAAGGGGTTGCGATTTCATTTGACTTCTATTACAAAGAAGAATACATGACGTTAGTTCAACTGCATTTATGTGTGCTACAATCCCAAGATAACTAGAATCAGCTATATAAATCGTCACTATCTATTATTGACATGTCAATCCTTTATGTTTCCATTTCTTAAAATGTATTGTATTTTCTTTTTTTCTTTTTTGGCAAAAGAATAGAAGTTAATACAGCTGCAAATTGCAATTACTTTGGGTTGATACAATAAAGTCTTAACCCATCTCCCTGTCTCTCTCTGTTGTAGGAATTGCAGTTTCAAGAATAGCACATCATATTGAGATTACCCAAATGGATCATCAAATTCCACTTCTTTATCAAACTTCTGTAAATGAGGTCTCTCTCTCACACACCACGCTATACTTCTTTAAGTCAAAAATAAATGAAGCCATATATATGGTGTCCTTCACTTTATGCTATCCTTTAAAGGATACTACCTTCGATTCATAATAAATGACTTTTTGACCTATTTATTTTTATCCAAAATAAGTGTCATTTTTACATAATTAAGAATGAATTAACAAAAGTTTTTAAAATTTTCCTTTATTTACATATCACAATGCTTCACATTAACAATATGCAAAATTTAATTAAGGGTAATTTAGTCAAAATACTTATTTGTTTTCTAGGGTCGAGACGGCTCTGTTTGTCCCCCGTGTTACTCTTCTTGAGGCACTATAGACTTTCTATTTTCTCTACTCACAACTTATTTTTAGTAAATTGATTTTTTTTTCTATTTTGGAATTGCCTTTTTGGGATTGCGTTTTTTTTGTTTGTTTTTATTTTTTGTTACTTATTATTTCAACTGTTTTTCTTTTCTTTTAGTTTTTGACTTTGATATAACTTAATCTAAGTGAAAAGTTAAGAAAATAAAAAAAACTAGAATTTTATAGACGTGTAGACTTCTGGAACTCACCCACACATGTTTTTTCTTTATTTAAGCATTAATAATTAATAGAATAAGTAAAAAAGAAAAAGAGTAGTAAAAGATGTTTATAAAATTAATTAAACAAAATGGAATATTAGTAAGGGCAAGTTAGTCAAGCTATAATTATTAAATTAATGATAAATAGGTTAAAAATATAGAAAAATCAAAGTGAGAGGTAATCGAAATATCGTAAAATACAGGGGAAGTTAGTGTAATAAAGCAAAATGTGAGGAGAAATCTTTCAATTTTTATTTTGGACAATTTTCAGTCTTGATCGAAAAAAGATGAGTCTTGGTGTAACTGGTAAAGTTGTTGTCATGCGACTAGGGAAGGTCACGGGTTCAAGCCGTGGAAACAGCCTCTTGCAGAAATGTAGGGTAGGCTACGTACGATAGACCTTTGTAGTACAACCCTTACTCGGACCCCACGCATAGCGGGAGCTTAATGTACCAAGATCGAAAAACGAGGAGAAAATCTTTCTTCAAATTTTTATTTTATCTTATCATTATTTATTGACAATTTATGTGGAGAAAAGAAACACAATACACGGAAATCATTTCCATTAATTACAGATAGAAGAAGGGAGGAGACTGGATTATTTGATTGAGATAAGGGAAACAAATGGTGAAGATCGATCAGGAATGACAACAAACAAACCTGCGAATCAAATCCTTGATGAAATATTTGCGGATATCAACGATTCATCTAGCGAATGTTGTACCATATTCAAAGTAAGTGTGGGGTTGAGTGAATCAAATCCAAATGCTTATAAACCAAAGGTGATCTCCATTGGTCCTTACCATAAACACAATCCTGAACTTCGCTCCACGAAAAAGTATAAAATGCGTTACTTACAGCGATTCCTCCGCAGGAAAGAGGGGATTGATGTGGAAACTTGCATTAGGGTATTAAAGGATGAAGCATTAAAGTGTTATGATGATATAGAAAACCTTGGAAGTGATATTGTTGCCAAATTTTCAAATATTTTGTTACTTGATGGTTGTTTTCTAGTTAAATACATTCGAGAGGATTGTGGAATGTGTCCAGAAGGTGGTATTATCCCTGAAGGTTGCCTAAATAATCAAATACGTCGTGACTTGTTGTTACTAGAAAACCAACTTCCTTTCTTTGTCCTCACAAATCAAACATTTACTTCAAGTTGTACACATGTCATGCCACCCTTCAGATATTAAAACTACTAGCCTAGTGAATCCTAGCATGGAAACAGAACATTCCTGGAAAAGCTTATGTTGTAATCCTTTGCAAATAATTAGGTCAAAAGATAAGCAAATGGATAAGGACCACCTAACGGGGCATAATGTCATGCCAAATGCAACGGAGCTTTCCGAAGCTGGAGTTGGCTTCGTAAAAGTTGGATATATTTATGATTACTTGGAGGGAGAAGACTATGGAGATAACACAAGTTTATTTGATATCAAATTTGAGAATGAGTTAATGAAAATTCCTAGTTTTAGAGTCACCGATGAAACGGAGACTCTCCTGCGAAATCTGATAGCGTATGAGCAACAGTCGTCTCATGTACATGGTCCTAGATATTTCAGTGATTTTGCAATTTTCATGGATTATCTTATCGACTCAGAGAAAGATCTGAATTTTCTACGCCAAAAAGGAATTATCAAGAATAGGATAGGGGAGGACAAAGAAATAGCTACCTTTTTAACAAGATCGGGAAAGGGGTCGCCGTTTCACATGAGGACTTCTATTACGAAGAAGAATGCAGAAAATTGGTTCAACATTGTGAACAACCATGGAACCTAATGAAGGCAAGTTTGAAGCGCAATTATTTTAATAGTCTGTGGATAGGAACTTCAACTGTGGCAGCTGTCATACTCCTCATACTCACAGCTATGCAGACTGTTCTAGCTTTCACAGGTGGTGTTTAAATAGTCATTGTTCTAATTATGCACAATGGTTGTTTGATTTTGTTAATCCTTCCAGTTTGGTTTTCCGTACTATTATTTGTGTATCCAATACAAGTTTAAAATGTCTTCTACATATATATATATGTCTATGAGGAATCTTCTAAATCATCAGGCGTATAAATTAAATAGAGGTGGAATGAAAAATGAAAATTAACCTAACAAGTTGTTCAAGTTGGAAGTAATTGACCTGGTTCTAAGAGCTTAGATAGATGATAAGCCAATTTCTACATCAGAGCCAACTTTCCTGCAAGGCACTCGGATTTGAACGTACAGTCTTATGTCTTTTCTTCTTTCTAACTTTTGTTTTAAGTCAAAGCTTATACGAATTTATGATAATATTCAGACATTTTATTTGTTTAACACAATTCACTTGTGCTTCCTAGTTCTTTAATTTTCGCAAGACGAACATAGTTAGGAGGGTAGTCTATCTTGGCCTTCGGACTAAAATCAAGTGATATTAGGTATGTTATGTACACATTATGCAAAATTTGATATGCATATATACAAGGCCTATGGCAGAATATTATGAAACTTTTTTATGACTGTGATGAGGAAATTTGGCTTATCTGAAGACGGGATTGATATCATTTGGAGTATGGAGAAAGAAAGGACTTTTTTTATATCTAGTTAAAGGGCTAAGCAATGGAATCCACTCTTCCCATCTCTTTTTATTTTAGGGGCAAAGGTGTTTTTCAAACTCCTTAAAAACTTATTCAATAATAAAAGTGTATCCAAAAATGGCAAAAATAGGACATCATAATTTGGCTTTGGGGCAGGTCATTTAATCAAATTGGGCAAACTTCAAGATCAAAAGTTATAAGTTTTCGTGATGGTCAAGTGACCTGCCCCAAAGGTCAAAAGTTTAAGACCAGATAAATTCCACTTATGGTCATTCAAATTAAGTTTTGTAACATAAAAATCACTTTTTTTTAAACACAAAATCATCTTTCTAAAGCCTATTTAATAAAAATACAAAAGTGGCTGGAAGATGCTATTATTGGCCTGAAACTGATGTGGCTATCTTCATTTGGTTAATAAAAAGGTTAGTTTAAGAGACCTCCCTTTGTGTTTTGACTTGTAACACTAATTCCGTTGTGGTTAACGATATTTACGTTTATTTTTTATTTTTTTTAATCTCACTTATGTTAATTTTTTTAATAATTATCTTAGCCTATTATAAAAATTAAAATTTAACTTGTTTACTCTCATAATATACTCTTTTGTTAAATAGATTTTATTAATATTTTTAAATTCTGTAAAATAAAGACACCGAAATAGTGAAAATCAAAGAAATCAAGAATTGACATGGAGACGAAGCGGACAGAAAATTAACAAGATAAAAATCTAGAAGAAAAAAACGAATCAGAATAGCAAAAAACAAGAAAACATCTAATATCTGAAGTATATGAGTTAAAGTTGATCATGCCTAAAATTTTCATATGTGAAGAATTAAAGATTGCAAAGAGCCCTTTAATTAGGAGAATTTATGATTCATCAAATGCTAATTGTGATGATGGTAAGTTTAGAAGATAATTCTGATATCATTTAATTAGGAACTGGATAGAGACACTTTCG